CTTATATAAGGAATTGTGAACTGTTGAACTATATGTATCATTATGTTCTTGTATAATCAATACTTCAGATAACTTACAAGGCTAAGTTAATGTGTTATATACAAGGAAAATAGAAATACACCTACAATCAAAATAGTCTTTTAATGTGTTACAGAAGAGGATTTCAAAACCACTTAGAGTGGCTGTAGATCAGCCTTTCTCCACCATGGTTGCGTGGATCCCTAGGGTTCCAGAGGTTGTCAGGGGTTCCTTAAACAATGAGCAATTTCTATCTCTTAGATAACTAACCAAAGATATCAGTGATCTCTAGAGCTAACTGCAAGGGGGGGACTCTTCCCAATGACCACAAAGGTGTAAGGAGCAAGCTTCCTAATGACCATCACGCTAATGTATACCAAACAGTAGATAATATAGAATTATTAGCATGGGTGGCTCGAGATTGAAAAGTTATTTCAAGGGTTCCTCCATGTTTCTCAAAAGATTGAGAAAGGCTGCCATAGATGATCAAACTACTAGAGATTCTCATGAATTTTAGCTTTAATGGTGGTGGTTGAATGGTTTCTGATCCCTAGAGCACTGGTTGTCATCTATCTGTAAGGGGGGGATTCTTCCTAATGACCACAAATGTAAGGAGCAAGCGACCATCACGCTAATGTATACCAAGCAGTAGATATAGAATTATTAGCATGGGTTGCCTGAGATCGAAAATTTATTTCAAGGGTTTCTCAAAAAGAGATGCTGCCGTAGATGAGCAAACTACTAGAGATTCTCATGAATTTTAGCTGTACTGGTGGTAGTTGAGCAGTTTCTGAGCTCTAGACCAGTGGTTGTCATCTATCTCTTCCCAATGACCTCAAATGTAAGGAGGAAGTTACCTAGACACCATCATGCTAATATACAGTAAGCAGTAGATATAAAATTATTAGCAGGGGTTACCTGAGATCGAAAAGTTATTTCAGGGGTATCTCCATGTTCAAAAGGTTGAGAATGGCTGCCACAGATGATCAAATTACTAGAGATTCTCAGAAATTCTCACTTTATTGGTGTTGCTTGAGCGGTTTCTGAGCCCTAGAGCACTGGTTGTCAGCTATCTGTAAAGGGGGAACTCTTCCTAAGAGCCCCAAATGTAAGGAATAAGCTTCCTAGTGACCATCACACTAATGTATAGTGATCAGTAGATACTGAATTATTAGCACAGCTTGCCTGAGATTTAAAAGGTATCCCAAGGGTTCCTCCATATTTGTCAAAAGGTTGCGAAAGTTTGCCACAGACAATCAAAGTTTTAGAGATTCTCAATAATTTTAGCTTTATCGTTGGTGGTTGAGCAGTTTCTGAGCCCAAGAGCAGAGGTTGTCAATTTACAAGGTATAGAGAGGTCAGTTAGGGTCCTTGACATTGCCAAAGGCTGCACACAATGGTCAGTATATGTAATGCTGGAGAGGACTGTCAGACTGTGGACATACTAGAAGTCTGGTTGAAGACTGGGGACATGCTGCAGAAGAAGGTGAGAGACTGGGGACATGCTGCAGAAGACGGTGAGAGACTGGGGACATGCTGCAGAAGAGGGTGAGAGATTGGGGACATTCTGCAGAAACGGTGAGAGACTGGAGACATGCTGCAGAAATGGTGAGAGACTGGGGACATGCTGCAGAAGACAGTGAGAGACTGGGGACATGCTGCAGAAGACGGTGAGAGACTGGGGACAAGTTACTTCTGACTAGTGGAGATCACGGTTGTTTTCCCTTAACAACCAATGCTTCCACTGCAAACTGCTTGGGTCTAAGGGCCATGTGCTGCCCTGCCCAGCCACATGTTGGGAACCAGGGCCCTAGAGAGTGGTAAGTGCTCCGGGCTTAGATACTCATAGTATTACCAATGTAGGCTCACCCCTACAAGGGCCGCTGAATACATGCCCAAGGTTATTTTCCCAATAGTTGCCCCACAGACAGGCACACAGTCACTCAAAAAAACAGTCTAGGGGTATGCTTTCCTGGTGCTTTATTTCAGAACGTGAACCTGGATAGGTTCGGGGTAACTGTGGGATACTCCAGAAATTCTTAGTAATGGACTTGAGGACCCTGAGCTTTTTCCTAGTAAGGTAAGCAAAGATCCGTGCTTGCAGCAAATTTTGACTGAGGGCCCAGGGTCAGTAGGGGGCCCCATGAGATGCCCCTGGTACCTTTCATAGGCTTTTTTTGGGTGTGGTTTGAGTGTGGGCGAGGATACAAGGGCCCCATGATCCCCTATTATCCAGGGGCCCCATGAGTTGTCAGTCCGCCCCTGATCTGATCATCGTAAGCACCCCTGTCAGTGATAAATGGTTTGTCTCAACCTTTTATCTGCCACTTTGCTGGACAGCTTGCGGCCCCTACCCGGAAATGCAAAATCATGTATAAATACGTGATTTTGCGCAGCCCTGCCGCCCTGTAGCAGTGGTTCTGTTATAGGGCAGTCGGGAAGCGGTTAAATAAAAAATCACTTTAAATGTATTCCTCTATCAATAGACTTAGCAAGCAAGTAACTCTTGCATTGCAGGGGGCCCCACTGCAGTGGCGTCCCTAGGTGGGTGCGGGCCACATCGGGTGACACCTATCGCACCATCATAGGGGGGTGACGCCAAAATGAAAAAAATTTATTTAGACAGCAGAAATTATATTTGGGCCGGACCCTCTCTATGTGCTTTGCAAGGCAGTGGCGCCAAATTCTGGATTGATTAGACAAAACGAATAATAAGCAGGATTAAGGAACAGGAAGGAACTGCGCATGTGATCGAATCTAACGTCCAGACAACAAATCGCAGAGAACTTAAATGCCCAAGTCATGTGATTACATCATCGGAACTTCAAGCACGTGACCAGAATTAAAATTCGTAGGCAGGTGCGGACTGACAACTCATGGGGCCCCTGGGCAATAGGGGATCATGGGGCCCCTGTGTCCTTGCCCAAACTCAAAAAAGCCTATGAAAAAGGTACCAGGGGCATCTCATGGGGCCCCCTACTGACCCCGGGCCCTCGGGCAGTGCCCGAGTTTCCAAATGGTCAGTCCGCCTCTGATTGTAGGATATAAGCAACGGGTTTTTATTAAAAAAGGGCTTTTGCTGTTTGTAAATTACAAACATTACTATAGGGCCTATAGGCGATTCTGTATAATCTGGTAGACTCTGATACAGGAGGACTCGGAGGAGGTCCATGGAGAAGTCTGGAGGGGTGACACAATCATTTTATCACACTGGGTGACACCAACCCTAGTGACACCACTGCCCCACTGCACTTTGTGCCCTATGTATCCACTTACTGAACTTAATGGCACCCTCGTGTATCGAAAAACGAAGCATGCTTTCAGACGCATGAAGCCGCATGGTGCAAAAGCAACTTCTTGAACTATTGAACTATATATGTCATTTTTAATCTTGTACAGTGAACACCTAAGATAATATCCCAATGAGTAGGTTCTACAAGGAGTGTACCACTTTTCTACATAGATGTATGATTGCAGACTTATCTTTATAACTGACAACACCTTAAATGTCTAAATGGTTATGAAAACATTAAAGTGTTACTAAACCCACAACAGTAAGATCAGTTTGTATATGCAGTAAAGCATACTTGTTTACTCACTGTGGAACCTAAGGGGTTAATCCTCTGCATTGTGTAAAATGGCTGTTTGATCCTGTCTTCTCTGATCCTCTCCTTCCAGTGTCCCCCTCTTTTCTCCTGATAAGACATATCGTGTGGAGACACTCTGCACATGCTTAGTTTGGTGTGTATTGCTAGAGAGGGTTTTTTTTTTTTCTTGGGAGAGTGCATGTGATCAGAACAAGGCAAATCAGCACTGTCCAGACAGAGGTCAGGGGTTCTGCATCCTCCTAGAGAACACTCCTACAAGCTGTAATCAGTGATTTGTCGGACACTGATAGAAGTCATAAGACTGCTCTACCTGCTGATGAGAAAAGGTATTTGGCAGTTTATATTTACTAAAATAATTGCATTTCCATGTTCTATGCATTGTGGGAGACCGGATATAGTGAATGCAGGGTCCTGGGAGACCGGATATAGTGAATGCAGGGTCCTGGGAGACCGGATATAGGGAATGCGGGGTCCGGGGAGACCGGATATAGTGAATGCGGGGTCCGGGGAGACCGGATATAGTGAATGCGGGGTCCGGGGAGACCGGATATAGTGAATGCGGGGTCCGGGGAGACCGGATATAGTGAATGCGGGGTCCGGGGAGACCGGATATAGTGAATGCGGGGTCCGGGGAGACCGGATATAGTGAATGCGGGGTCCGGGGAGACCGGATATAGTGAATACGGGGTCGGGAGAGACCGGATATAGTGATGCGGGGTCCGGGGAGACCAGATATAGTGAATGCAGGGTCCGGGGGGAGACCGGATATAGTGAATGCAGGGTCCTGGGAGACCAGATATAGTGAATGCAGGGTCCGGGGAGATCAGATATAGTGAATTCAGGGTCCGGGGAGACCAGATATAGTGTATGCATGGTCCGGGGAGACCGGATATAGTGTATGCAGGGTCTGGGGAAACCATATATAGTGAATGCAGGGTCCTGGGAAACCATATATAGTGAATGCAGGGTCCGGGGAAAACAGATATAGTGAATGCAGGGTCTGGGGAAACCAGATATAGTGAATGCAGGGTCCGGGGAAACCAGATATAGTGAATGCAGGGTCTGGGGAAACCAGATATAGTGAATGCAGGGTCTGGGGAGAGTGGATATAGTGAATGCAGGGTCTGGGGAGACTGGATATAGTGAATGCAGGGTCCAGGGAGACCAGATATAGTGAATGCAGGGTCCGGGGAGACCGGATATAGTGAATCCAGAATCCAGGGAGACTGGATATAGTGAATGCGGGGTCCGGGGAGACCAGATATAGTGAATGCAGGGTCCTGGGAGATCAGATATAGTGAATTCAGGGTCCGGGGAGACCGAATATAGTGAATGCAGGGTCCGGGGAGACCAGATATAGTGAATGCAGGGTCTGGGGAAACCGGATATAGTGAATGCAGGGTCTGGGGAGAGTGGATATAGTGAATGCAGGGTCTGGGGAGAGTGGATATAGTGAATGCAGGGTCTGGGGAGACCGGATATAGTGAATGCAGGGTCCAGGGAGACCAGATATAGTGAATGCAGGGTCCGGGGAGACCGGATATAGTGAATCCAGAATCCAGGGAGACTGGATATAGTGAATGCGGGGTCCGGGGAGACCAGATATAGTGAATGCAGGGTCCTGGGAGATCAGATATAGTGAATTCAGGGTCCGGGGAGACCGAATATAGTGAATGCAGGGTCCGGGGAGACCAGATATAGTGAATGCAGGGTCTGGGGAAACCGGATATAGTGAATGCAGGGTCTGGGGAGAGTGGATATAGTGAATGCAGGGTCTGGGGAGACCGGATATAGTGAATGCAGGGTCCAGGGAGACCAGATATAGTGAATGCAGGGTCTGGGGAGACCGGATATAGTGAATCCAGAATCCAGGGAGACTGGATATAGTGAATGTGGGGTCCGGGGAGACCAGATATAGTGAATGCAGGGTCCTGGGAGACCGGATATAGTGAATGCAGGGTCCTGGGAGACCGGATATAGTGAATGCAGGGTCTGGGAAGACCGGATATAGTGAATGCAGGGTCTGGGGAGACCGGATATAGTAAATGCAGGGTCTGGGGAGACCAGATATAGTGAATGCAGGGTCCGGGGAGACCAGATATAGTAAATGTAGGGTCCGGGGAGACCAGATATAGTGAATGCAGGGTCCTGGGAGACCAGATATAGTGAATGCAGGGTCCGGGGAGACCGGATATAGTGAATGCAGGGTCCGGGGAGACCGGATATAGTGGATGCAGGGTCCGGGGAGACCGGATATAGTGGATGCAGGGTCCGGGGAGACCAAATATAGTGGATGCAGGGTCCTGGGTTTAGTAACACTTAAAAGTGACACCAAATGATATCCTTTGTCTCCACACATATTCCATACACACCCACTGCTTACTGGCCCTGTAATCTGGTTTTCATTAAATCGTTTCTTACTGTGTCTTTCTGCCTCCTTGTAAAGTTCCTCAACTTCTCCTTTTCCCCCTTTATTTGCTTGGAACAAGCAGGGTATGTTCTATGCACATCACAAATCCCAGAGTCCATGGTCTATTTCATGAGTGAACAAGAGATGGTGGCTACGTTCCTACATACAATTGGGCCATGGAGAACATATGTAGCCACCCTCTAACAGGAAGTTGGATTACAGCAGCAAAAGAAAAAGACTTTACATAAATGCATTTGCATGCTGCATTGCCTTCTAAAATGTGCTGCAATACTTCTTATTTTTTGAAAATATGCTGGACATCGAGCCCTTGCAGTAGAGGTAAGTATTTATTTGTGTCTTTTGTTTACCACTCTAAAGCAGAACTAAAATCTCTCAATCGACATAAACTACCGTATTTTTATATAACAAGTGCAGCACTCGAAAACCCAAAACTAAAATGATAAAAATAAATAGTAAAGAAAAATAATCCTATGAATCATCTAGATCTAACCCACAATCAGGGGCGGACTGACAACTCATGGGGCCCCCGGGCAATAGGGGATCATGGGGCCCCTGTGTCCTTGCCCAAACTTCTAAAAGTCTATGAAAAAGGTACCAGGGGCATCTCATTGGGGCCCCCTACTGACCCCGGGCCCTCGGGTAGTTCCAGAGTTTCCAAATGGTCAGTCTGCCCCTGCCCGCAATGTCACCCGTCTAGGTGCAGTCCGGTGATTCATAGGATTATTTTTCATTTCTATATATTTGTATTATTTTAGTTGCTTTAGTAACTATTTGTAATCCATATGCTGCTGGCATTAGTAAATAGATAGGAAGGTACACTATATTGCCAAAAGTATTGGGCCAGCCCTCCAAATCATCGGATTCTGGTGTCCCAATCCCCTCCATGGTCACAGGTGTATAAAATCAAGCCCCTAGGCATGCAGACTGCTTCTACAAACATTGGTGAAAGAATGGGTCGCTCTCAGGAGCTCAGTGACTCCAAGCGTGGTCCCGTGATAGGTTGTCACCTGTGCAATAAGTCCATCCGTGACATTTCCTGGCTACTAAATATTCCACACTCAACTGTTAGGGGGATTATAACAAAGTGGAAGCAACTGGGAACAACAGCAACTCAGCCACCAAGTGGTAGGCCACGTAAAATGACAGAGCGAGGTCAGCGCATGCTGAAGCGCACAGTGCGCAGAAGTCATCAACTGTCTGCAGAGTCAAGAGCTAAAGACCTCCAAACTTCATGTGGCCTTCAGATTAGCACAACAACAGTGTGCAGAGAGCTTCATGGAATGGGTTTCCATGGCCGAGCAGCTGCATCCAAGCCTTACATCACCAAGTGCAATGCAAAGCGTCAGATGTAGTGGTGTAAAGCATGCCACCACTGGACTCTAGAGCAGTAGAGACATGTTCTCTGGAGTGACCAATCATGCTTCTCTGTCTGGCAATCCAGTGGACATGTCTGGGTTTGGCGGTTGCCAGGGGAACAGTACTTGCCTATCTGCATTCTGCCAAGTGTAAAGTTTGGGGGGGGGATTATGGTGTGGGGTTGTTTTTCAGGGGTTGGGCTTGGCCCCCTAGTTCCAGTTAAGGGAACTCTTAAGGCGTCAGCATACCAAGACATTTTGGACAATTTCATGCTCCCAACTTTATGGGCAGCAGCAAATAGGGACAGTACAATTACAATACAGTTCTGTACAAAAGGAATAGGAGGACCCTGCTCATGGAGCTTACAATTATATTTACATGTTTAAAAAAAATTTTTTTTTTTCCTTTTTTTCAGTTGCTTCCTGATTTTTCTAGCCTAGGCCAAGATGATGTAATAATTCTAAGGACACTTCATAAGAGGAGGGGGGGTTCTCAGTTCAGCACACCCTCCTGCTTGCATACATGAGCTAAGGGCAGATGGATTCCTAGAAGTAAATGCTACATGAATTATCTGCCCTTACTCATGATGCCCATGGCTAGAAATGCTAGGGGGTGTTTTTTAAAGTTATTTCTCAGCTAAATAAATTATGGAAACATGGCTAGGTGGCGTTGCTTTCAATATTAAACATGAATTATATAGCCTTTCAGTTTTTGGTGCTCAGATACAGTTGAGTTTTGCTTTACGAAACCATTGACAAAATGTACACCCGCGATGAGGTCCGACTCCGTACATACCTGCTCTCTGCCATTCTTTGTAGTTCAAGACTAAAGTAAGTTTCCTAGGGCAGGGTTTTCTGTTTTTCAGTATGTTCGTGTGCCCTTCCTCATGAAATGTTCAACTTGAGACCAGGGACAGACTGGCAACTCATGGGGCCCCCGGGCAATAGGGGATCATGGGGCCCCTGTGTCCTTACCCAAACTCAAAAAACCCTATGAAAAAGGTACCAGGGGCATCTCATGGGGCCCTCTACTGACCCCGGGCCCTCGGGCAGTGCCCGAGTTTCCAAATGGTCAGTCCGAGCCTGCTTGCGACAGATTTCTGAGTTCATGGTGGAGCAGCACAAGAGGCTGCAAACAGTGATAAAGATGATGGTTTTAACCAAATGTGACCAGACCCTGTTGCATAAATGTGAATGTGATGGGTGAATGATTATTATATTATTATTATTATTATACAGGATTTATATAGCGCCAACAGTTTGCTCAGCGCTTTACAATATAAAGGGAGACAATACAACAACAATACAGTTCAGTACAAAAGGGATAGGAGGGCCCTGCTCCTTGGAGCTTACAATCTAAGAGGGAGCGACTGGTGGTACAAAACGTAATAACTGTGGGGGATGGATTGGTAGGAAGAATAGAAGATTCCATTATTAGCTGAGGGTAGGATAGGCTTCCCTGAAGAGATAGGTTTTCAGAGATCGCCTAAAAGTGAGCAGAGCAGGCGATAGTCTGATACATTGCGATAGAGAGTTCCAGAGGATGGGGGAAGCTCTGGAGAAGTCCTGGAATGTGAATATGTCATAAATGTGAATGAGATTGGTAAAAGATGGCTTCAGCTCCTGTTCTCCACCTGCAGGGAACATCATAGACATGTTTTGCTCCTTTCGAGGCTTAATCATAGAGGGGTAGAGTTTACCTCTACGATTAAGCCCTGCAAAAGGCAAAACGCGTCTAAAACTATTTTCAGTGTACAATGAAACAAAAGGTAGTAACTGTGGGGGATGGACTGGTAGGAGGAAGAGAAGATTCCATTATTAGTTGATGGCAGGATAGGCTTCCCTGAAGAGATGTGTTTTCAGAGATTGCCTAAAAGTGAGCAGAGTAGGCTATAGTCTGATAAATTGGGGTAGAGAGTTCCAGAGGATGGGGGAAGGGAAGCTCTGGAGAAGTCCTGGAATGTGAATATGTCATAAATGTGAATGAGATTGGTAAAAGATGGCTTCAGCTCCTGTTCTCCACCTGCAGGGAACATCATAGACACGTTTTGCTCCTTTTGAGGCTTAATCATAGAGGGGTATAGTTGGCCTCTACGATTAAGCCCTGCAAAAGGCAAAACGCGTCTGAACTATTTTCATTGCTTTGGGATACACATCAAAGATGATGGTGATGCAATAGAATGTTGAAAGCTTTTGCTTTCCTATATGTTCTTCAGAGTAAGTGACAGCATGCAGCCACACATGAAACGTCACCTTTTAGTGAAGTAGTAGTCCCTAGCAGCCAATCGTACACTTGAGGGTAATACTAAAGGTCAATATGGCTGACAATAGTGATGACAAGATTCAGAATAAACTATCACCAATATAATTTATGACAGGTGTTTAAATGACTTTCCTCTCTCTCTGCACTGCCTAATAAATACACCTTCTTTTCTGTCTAATGACATCTGAGTAGTTCATTGACCCCATAGAGTTCACATTGCTCAGCTAGGTAGCAGCTGTAAAAGGCGTCACACAATACGACTAACCTGATTTTTTTTTCAACAACAATCTTCTGAAACCCATAAGCAAGGCCATGGAGAAGGGATACCACCAGCACTCCTGCACGGGGCCCAGGCCAGTGGGGGGGGGGGGCGGCCAGGCAGCTAGTTAAATCAGATGTGGACAGAGCGGGTGGCTTCTTCTCCGCTTCCTCCAACTGGCTTTCAGCTGCAGCATAGAGAGCCATACAGGAGGTCGGTTCCAGTAATTGCCCCCACCACACCCATCACCCTCCCTGCGCACCATACATTTCCCCCTGTTGCCCAGGCCCCCCTGTGTGCCCCCACCCCCACAATTCTGCCAGCTTCCCTCCTCTCCTTCCCACCGGTATCTGCAAGATCACAATAGGAACATTCAGAATGGTGAGTGGGGGAAGTGTCCGGTAAATATGTCACATTTACCAGCCCCTTCCTTTCCTGAATGAACACAATGAGTGATCGGTAACAATCACTGTGGTCATTCATAACGGAAGCATTTTTTTTTTGGAGGGGCCCTGTCAGGTTTTCTGTATGGTGGGGGCTTCGACTTCTGATGCTATGGGGGCTGTTGACATCTGGTGTAAGGGTGGGTGTGCTTCTCTGGACATCTGCTTATGAGAATAATACAATTCTATGCCAATTGAAAAGGAGGGTCGCACACTACTGGCATCATTCACAAGAAACTTTACTGGAGACTGCTGAGTCAGAACACCATAGCAGAACCATGTTGAGCAGTCTCCAATAAAGTTTCTTGTGGACGATACCGGTGGTGTGCGACCCTCCTTTTCAGACTTGCATCATCTGCTACAGGAGTGTGAGTGGGCTCCGTCTGCAGCTGCCCTTCACAGCTTAAAGTGATACAAAACCTAAAAATGTTTCTGCTTTTATTAAGGTAAAAAATATTTTTATTCTCCCTGGACTCC